GGCGGTAATATTTTTTGGGTGATTAGTGCATTCCAGTGACATAAACGTACAGTTTCCAGCCAACGGCAAGCTGCAATTGACCGATTGTGTACTAAATAAACTGACTTTCTGCTTCACAACCACTATTGTACGTTCAAAGAGTTAGATCCATTTACACGCCGGTGGCGGTAATATTTTTTGGGTGATTAGTGCATTCCAGTGACAGAAACGTACAGTTTCCAGCCAACGGCAAGCTGCAATTGACCGATTGTGTACAATAAACTGACTTTCTGCTTCACAACCACTATTGTACGTTCAAAGAGTTAGATCCATTTACACGCCGGGTGGCGGTAATATTTTTTTTACACGGTGATTTTTTGGGTGATTAGTGCATTCCAGTGACATAAACGTACAGTTTCCAGCCAACGGCAGTGCAATTGACCAGCCAACGGCAAGCTGCAATTGACCGATTTACACGTGCTAAATAAACTGACTTTTCTGCTTCACAACCACTATTGTACGTTCAAAGAGAGTTAAATCCATATACACGCCGGGTGGCGGTAATATTTTTTGGGTGATTAGTGCATTCCAGTGACATAAACGTACAGTTTCCAGCCAACGGCAAGCTGCAATTGACCGATTGTGTACAATAAACTGACTTTCTGCTTCACAACCACTATTGTACGTTCAAAGAGTTAGATCCATTTACACGCCGGCTGGCGGTAATATTTTTTGGGTGATTAGTGCATTCCAGTGACATAAACGTACAGTTTCCAGCCAACGGCAAGCTGCAATTGACCGATTGTGCTAAATAAACTGACTTTCTGCTTCACAACCACTATTGTACGTTCAAAGAGTTAGAATCCATTTACACGCCGGGTGGCGGTAATATTTTTTGGGTGATTAGTGCATTCCAGTGACATAAACGTACAGTTTACAGCCAACGGCAAGCTGCAATTGACCGATTGTGCTAAATAAACTGACTTTCTGCTTCACAACCACTATTGTACGTTCAAAGAGTTAAATCCGGTTTTATTTTTGGGGTGCTTATTGAATTAAAGAGTATGTCAGACAACACGCAGAGGAGTGGCAGAGGAGGCAATGTTTCAGGAGCGAGCAGACGTGGCAGCAGAGGAAGGGGTCGAGGCAGCACTAGTCGCAGCCAGAGGCCAGTGCTCCCGGTGTCATCCAGCGGTCGTGTCTCCACCGACAACCCTGCCGTCATCGATTGGTTGACTCGGTCGTCTTCCTCTTCCCAGGTCACCTCTGACACCTACAGCCAACGGTCGGTGGGTACGTCAGACACAACCGTTAGTTGGCATGGCCCGGGAGCAAGCCCACTGAAATCACGTGTCCTCGACCTGCCCCTGTCCTTTGGTGTTCCCTCACCAAGCGAAGTATCGCATGCTGTGGGCTCAGCCCCACTGTACAGTGAGGAAGAGCTAACAGAGGGCGGTCAGGAACGGGGGGAGACATCCGCCTCTTCAGCAGCCAGGCGAAGAAGTACTGGCGAGGAGAGTGGCTCGGTAGCCGGTCTAGAGACAGGTCTGTCTCCTGACCCACACGCAGCCGAGGGGGCTAGTAGTGACGCGGAGACCCTAATTGATGATGATGAGGCTGATCGCACTTGGCAGCCTCGTCGTCATCAGGCTATTGCTTCCGCATCATCAGGAGAAGAGGGTGCCAGCTTGCCAGCGAGCAAAACAGTCGGTGGGTTGCCCAGGAGGCAGCAGGGTCGCAGCAGTGTCAGTGGAGCCAAACGGCCACGGAGTAGAGCACCAGCTCCACTGCAGCCTACCACCACGGCCAGTAGTGGTGCCGGTGTGCACGGAGGAAGTAGCAGTCAGCCAGTGAGGAGTAGCGGGGGCAAAGTTTCCTACTCGGCGGTGTGGCAATTTTTTCGTCACGCCGCCCGAGGAAGTAAACGTAGCCGTATGTCGACTATGTGGCCAGAAAGTCAAGCGTGGCCAGGGGCCAATGTTGGGACTACAGCGTTGCGTCAGCATATGCAGCGTCGCCATTCGGTGGCCTGGGAAAACCGTGATAAAGATACGGCGGTTTCTGCCTGCCCCAGCCCCCGCTCCATCACCCGCTCCGTTACTTGCTCCGTCACCCGACGTCAATCGCCCTCTATCAGCCAGTCAAGGCTCCAACACCTCTGCTGAGGGGAGTTGTCGCTCGTTGGCATCTTCCGCTCGTTCAGATGCTCCTTCTCCTGCTACTCCTCTTCACGGATTCCGTCAGCAGTCTTTCTTGGAATCCGTTTCCAAGAGACAACAGTTTGCGAGCACGCACCCGACGGTGCAAAAGCTGAACGTCCTCCTGTCCAAGTTGCTGGTGCTGCAGTCCCTCCCTTTCCAAGTGGTGGACTCAGCACCTTTCCGAGAAATGATGGCTTGTGCCGAGCCGCGGTGGAGAGTGCCAAGCCGGCATTTCTTCGCCAAAAAGGCAGTGCCAGCCCTGCATTCACATGTAGAAGAGATGGTGGGCCAGTCTTGAGCATGTCGGTCTCTGCCAAAGTGCACGGCAGCGCCGACGTGTGGAGCTGTAACTACGGTCAGGGACAGTACATGTCATTTACGGCCCACTGGGTGAACGTGGTGCCGGCACAGCCGCACCAGCAACTTGGACAGGTCACGCCGCTTTTGCCTCCACGTTTGCACGTCCTTGGTCCAGCAAAGATGTCCGCCTCTACCACCTCTTCTTCCGCCGTGTCCTCAGCCGCCACCCCCGTGCCAAGTCCCATTACCCGACCGGCATATCACATGTGCAGGGCGCAACGGTGTCACGCTGTGCTGCACCTGGTATGCCTTGGCGAACGTAGTCACACAGGGGAGGAACTTCTGAGTGTAATGAACAGAGAAATCGACAGATGGCTGTCTCCGCGCAAACTGAAAATCGGAACCATGTTGACCGACAACGGAAAGAACATGGTGTCTGCTCTGCGTCAAGGAAGGTTGTGCCATGCGCCATGCATGGCTCACGTGTTCAATCTGGTTGTCAAGCGGTTCCTAAAATCCACCATCCCACTGCAAGACATCCTTAAAATGTCACGTAAACTTTGCATGCATTTCAGCCCATTCCTACACCGCAAAGCACACCCTCCTTGAGCTGCAGCGGCAGAACGGAATTCCACAGCATCGCCTGATCTGCGACGTTGCAACAAGGTGGAATTCAACCCTACATATGTTAGACCGCCTTTACGAACAGCGAAAGGCCATCACCGATTTCCTGATGTTACAAGCGGATAAAGGTACTCCCCTGTGTAACTTAGATGTCAGCCATTGGCAGCTCATGCGTGACACCTGCCGCTTGCTCAGGCCCTTTGAGGAGGCCACGCTATTCGTGAGTCGGCAGGACTATGGGATGAACGACGTCATTCCTCTGTTGCACGTCCTGGAACAAATGCTGTTAACAATGGCTGGTCAGGGTGCGGTAGACGTGGCGCACAGATCTCAACGCCACATGACCCCTGTGGGGGCAGGACAGGAAGAAGAGGAGGAGGTAGAGGAGGACATTGGTGCTCAGGAATTATTGAGTGAAATGGGTGGTTTTTCCACTCAGCGGACAGGAGTGGAGGAGCAGGAGCATCTGGTAGAGGAGGAGGAGGAGGAGACAGAGGACCCAGACGCACCGTGGCAGTATGCTGTGGAGATGGAGGCAGGGAGTCCCTCGCATTCCTTGGCACAAATGGCCCATAGCATGCTCGGTTGCTTGCGTAGACAGCCGAATAATAACCATCAGACAGAGGGATGACTTTTGGCTGTCCACCTTGTTGGACCCTCGCTACCGTTCAAAAATGGTGGCCCTTTTTCACACCTGCTGAGAGGGAGGCCAAAATAAAGTACTATAAAAACCACCTATGTAGTCATGCAGTATATAGCCCTATCGGCCACTTTCTGGCATCCAGTTGCTGTAGCCCCCATCACCACACTGTGCCACGGGCCCCTGTACCGCCTTCTCATACTGCTGCCAGATCCATCCTCTGCCATGTGCGTCTTTGTCGTCTGCTCACGCTGCTGGGTTCCAGTTTTAAACCGAGGCCTGTGTATGGCTTCCGAATACTGCTGCCTCCACCGCCACCCTGCGCCATGTGCCTCTGTCGTCTGCTCACGCTGCTGACGGCTTCCGCTTTTTAAACTAGTCCTGTGTATGTCTTCCGAATACTGCTGCCTCCACCGCCACCCTGCGCCATGTGCCACTTTCAGGTCTCCTTACACTGTTGGTGGGTTCCATTTTGTGATAGGGTGCTGTATGGCCTTCCATTGCTGCTGCCTCCACCGCCACCCTGCGCCATGTGCCTCTGTCGTCTGCTCACGCTGCTGACGGCTTCCGCTTTTTAACCGAGGCCTGTGTTTGGCTTCCGAATACTGCTGCCTCCACCGCCACCCTGCGCCATGTGTCTCTCTGTCGTCTGCTCACGCTGCTGACGGCTTCCGCTTTTTAACCTAGGCCTGTGTATGGCTTCCGAATACTGCTGCCTCCACCGCCACCCTGCGCCATGTGCCTCTGTCGTCTGCTCACGCTGCTGACGGCTTTCGCTTTTTAAACTAGTCCTGTGTATGTCTTCCGAATACTGCTGCCTCCACCGCCACCCTGCGCCATGTGCCACTTTCAGGTCTCCTTACACTGTTGGTGGGTTCCATTTTGTGTGATAGGGTGCTGTATGGCCTTCCATTGCTGCTGCCTCCACCGCCACCCTGCGCCATGTGCCTCTGTCGTCTGCTCACGCTGCTGACGGCTTCCGCTTTTTAGCCGAGGCCTGTGTTTGGCTTCTGAATACTGCTGCATCCACCGCCACCCTGCGTCATGTGTCTCTGTCGTCTGCTCACGCTGCTGCTGACGGCTTCCGCTTTTTAACCTAGGCCTGTGTATGGCCTTCAATTGAAGCTGCTTCTGCTCCGCCACTCTGCCATTGGACTCTTGATAGTCGTCTCCCCACGCTGCTGCTGGGGGGGACTTTTTAACATAGGCCTCTGTATGGCCTTCAATTTTAGCTGCTTACGCTCCGCCACTCTGCCATGGGCCCCTGTACCGCCTCCTCATGCTGCTGCCAGGCCCGTAATCTGCCATGGGCCCCCGTACCGACTCCTCATGCTGCTGCCAGGTCCGTAATCTGTCATGGGCCCCTGTACCGCCTCCTCATGCTGCTGCCAGGCCCGTAATCTGTCATGGGCCCCTGTACCGCCTCCTCATGCTGCTGCCAGGTCCAGAGTGTGTCATGGGTCCCTGTACGGCCTCCCATTGCTGCTGTCTCTGCCATCGCCACACTCTGCCATGTGCCACTTTCAGGTCTCCTCACACTGCTGGTGGGTTCCATTTTGTCTTAGGGTGCTGTATGGCCTCCCATTGCTGCTGCCAGGCCCGTAATCTGCCATGGGCCCCCGTACCGACTCCTCATGCTGCTGCCAGGCCCGTAATCTGTCATGGGCCCCTGATACCGCCTCCTCATGCTGCTGCCAGGTCCAGAGTGTGTCATGGGTCCCTGTACGGCCTCCCATTGCTGCTGTCTCCATAGCCACACTCTGCCATGTGCCACTTTCAGGTCTCCTCACACTGCTGGTGGGTTCCATTTTGTCATAGGGTGCTGTATGGCCTCCCATTGCTGCTGCCTCCACCGCCACACTGTGGCTCCACACTCTGGTTTTGGCCCCGTGACTGCCCAAATGAGTGAAGTGTGCGGTGATTCTAAGATCGACGGCACTCATCTGCATGTCATACTGACTGACAGTATTATTTCTCTTCCCCAGCAGACTCCAAGGGCATTTAAATTAAAGGTACAGTGTTCTGCACTAATATAAAGGCTCTCTGAAGCCTAGAAACACCCTTTTTATAAGTTAAATTCGCAGCGAATATATTCGGCACGAAGCGAATTTAATCGGCGAATTCGGCGAATCAGCCGAACTGAATTTTTGAATAATTCGCTCATCTCTAGTTACAATGATCAAAAATATCATAAAACTACATAAATAGATACAAGGCACTGAAATTATTATATCCGTAATCACTCAGAAGACCACTTGACCTGTGTCACCCACATTCCTATAAAATATTCAATAGTACAAATATACAGATCAGAACTATAAGCGATAAGGGCAGTAACACAGGTGACAGGGGTCTCAACGTGTTTCACGGTTAGATGGCTTCATCAGGAGAAGGGGCGGACTGACAACTCACGGGGGATAGGGGATCATGGGGCCCCTGTGTCCTTGCCCAAACTCAAAAGAGCCTATGAAAAAGGTACCAGGGGCATCTCATGGGGCCCCCTACTGACCCCGGGCCCTTTGGGCAGTGCCCGAGTTTCCAAATGGTCAGTCCGCCGCTGATCAGGAGACTCTATTAGGAGTGAACCATGGTTCTTATTTAGCATTTATAAATGACATATAAATTGAAAAAATTTTCAGGTTGCATGCTAACAAAACCAAAACCATTGTGACATATGTATGGTGCTGCATCTAAAAAACTAGAGTACCAGGAAATAGCCCCAAAAGTAAGGAGGCCCAGCGGGTTATTGACAGTGAATATGGAGCCCTCGAGGGGCAGCCCAAATCTAGTAGATCTGTGGTCTCCAAACTTTCCAAACAAAGGGTCAGTTTACTGTCCTTCAGACAGAAAAACCTTGAGCCTTTAGAACCACTTTAATCCCATCATCACCACACACCACTTAAGGTTGGTCTGCCCAAGCTCTGGCCCCAAAATCATACAGTAGGTGTCGGTCTGGCTCGTCACGGCATGACTGCAAACAAAGTGGACGACCACACAATAAACCCCAATTTTTCAATTGTAGCATTAAAAAGATCACTACATCACAGCAACACAAGACAAGAGAGGATGTTACCACATTTCGATTCAAAGGCGCTTACTCGTATGTTATGTTTGCATTTTGCACCCTGCATTTTGTAAGCAGGGGTTGAGGGCAGCATTTTATACAAGGCCCACTTTAACCTGTTCCCTAAAACGTAAAGTGGCTTAAGGTAAAAGATTTCTCTTAATGCATTCTCTTCATTCAGGTGAAAAACCTTTCCCATGTCAGCTCCCCCAAAATACTTAACTGAGCCCAATCTCGGTCCAGCACCATGCACGTCTGCAGCAGCACTGTTCTCTCCCACAGGAGGCTCTGCAGCAGTGGAAGCCAATGGCTCCCGCTTCTGTCTCAGTCAATGAGGAGAGGGAGACTCCAATGGATCGAGAGGGGGTCTAGGTGAGCATTAGGGGGAGCTGGGGGGGCTACAGCACAGAGAAGGTTTTTTACCTTCTCGCATAGAATGCATGAAGGTAAAAAAACCTTGAGCCTTTACAACCACTTTAGCCATATAGTACAATGACGGGCGCAAGGTGGTTCTCTTGTTCTGGGAGGACATCATATGACGTCCTCCCATTCTAACCGTGCATGCATGGCTCAGGGAGCGCACAGCAGATCACCGATCAACGGAGAGAGCCGAAGATGTCGGCTTGGTCATGTGATCAGCTGTGTCCAATCAAAGCTGATCACATGTAAACAAGGAAATGCCAGTTATCGGCATTTCTCTCCCCACGAGCTGTCACGCTGCCAGCTTGAGAGGAGACGAGAGCCAGTAATCGGCATTCCTCGGAGGGGACATGTACACTGATCATCAGAGCACTGATGATCAGTGTGCCCTGATAATCTGTGTAGCCCCAGCAGTGCCACCTGTCAGTGTCCATCAGTGTGCCAGCTGTCAGTGCTTATCCATGCCACCTGCCAGTGCCCATCAGTGCCATTTCAGTGCCTACCAGTGCACATCTGAGCTGTCTTTCAGTGTCACCCATCAGTGCCAGTCAGTGCCACCTATCAGTGCCACCAATCAGTGCTACGTATCAGTGCCAGTCACTGCCGCCTATCAGTGCCAGTCAGTGCCGCCTGTCAGTGTGCATCAGTGCCGCCTATCAGTGCCCATCAGTGCTGCCTATCAGTGCCACACATAACAGTGCCAGTAAGTGCCACCTAACAGTGCCAGTCAGTGTCGCCTGTCAGTGACAGTCAGTGCCGCCTATCAGTGCCAGTCAGTGCCGCCTATCAGGGGATCGCGGCGTCCTGTCGGCCGGCGCATGCGCACTGGCGACGGCTCACGCCGGGACACAGGCACTAGGTCCCGGCGAGCCGTGGATGACAGGATGCCGCGCATGCGCAGTGGGACCCGCGGGCGCGCCTCGGGCGGCCAATGACAGCCCGGGGGCGCGTCCCGAGCGGCCAATGACAGTGCAGGGCGCAATATTTAAAGATGCCCTGCACTGTCAGTAATCGCCGCAAGGTCTATCTGAGTTCCTGAGTCCTGTACCTGTGTTTTTGACCCTGATTGACCCTGACTACGCTGCCTACTCCTGTGTTGACCCGGATTGTCCTGACTACTCTGCCTTCTCCCATCCTGACCCTCGGCTTGTTTTGACCTCTCTACGGACTGACTTATCCTGCTGACCCTGCGTGTGACCTGACTACTCTCCGCCTGCCGACTCTGTACCTCGCCTACCCCACGGGACCCCGCTCGTGATCCATCCTGCTAGGTCCTGCCGTCCTCCTCACATCTGGCTCTCCCGGTACCAATACATCCCCGGAGGTTGCCCCTGCCACTGGTGGGCCTGCTCGGAGGTCGTGACCTGGTCCCGGTCTGTTTCAAGTCCATCCCCACCATCAGGGGCCCTGGTGAAAGCACAGACCGGGACTTAGACTCCACGCTTTGGGTAGGTCTGTCAAGTGGGCAGCCAGGGGCACCACCTGGCGGGATCTAACAGTACCTTGCGGCCATGACAGAGCCAGGAAGAGGACCGGCGTCCCTAGAGGATATATGCCAGCACCTGGCGACTCTGACCCAGGCCTTCCAGAATTTTCACAGCCGCTGCACCCGGCTTGAGGACCGCATGGAGTCGTTTGCCACCCAGACTCCCCCTGCTCCAAGTTCCGCAACAGCGGAATCACCCGCTGCTCCAGCATCCGGAGCAGTTGCGGCACCCCTAGCTCCCGAACCCCGCGTTCCCCTGCCGGAACGATTCCGTGGAGACCGAAGCCGTTTTCGGGCCTTCCGGAACGCGTGCACTTTATTTTTTGACCTGCAGCCCCGCACGTTTTCCGTCGAGACCGTCAAGGTGGGGTTTATAATCTCTCTCCTTCAGGATGAGCCCCAGGATTGGGCTCACCGCCTGATGGAGAAGCGTGACCCCCATCTCGATTCCGTGACTGAGTTCTTTCAGGCCATGGCCGTCCTATATGACGACCCCCAGCGGGCTGCCTCTGCAGAGGCTACTCTATACTCTCTGCGGCAAGGCCGCCGGGCGGCCGAAGAGTATGCGTCTGATTTCAGGCGTTGGATGGGAGATACCAGATGGAACGATGCGGCATTATGTCACCAGTTCCGCATTGGGCTGTCTGAGTCTCTAAAAGACGAATTAGCACGAGTAGACTACCGGACTCTCTTGAGAAACTGATAGAGTTGGCCATCCAAATTGACCGCAGACTGAGAGAGCGTCGCCTGGAAAGGAGTAGCCAGGGTCAAAGGGTGGCATGGATCCCACCGAGAGAAGCAGCTCCAACCCCAGGGAGCCATGCTCGGAGCACGGAAGCAGGGGACACCTCAGAACCCATGCAACTGGACTGGCCCGTTCCACTTTATCGGCCGAGGAACGTCAGAGGAGACGATCGCAGAACCTATGTCTGTACTGTGGGGAAGCTGGTCACCAGGTGCGCTCCTGTCCTGCAAAAATGAGTAAGTCCGCTTCCTGTTTTCCTTTACCTACAGAAAGGGGTGACCTATCTAGTTACCTGGCAATACCTGTGTCGTTACAGCTTCCCGGAGGAACCCTGTCGGTGACCGCAATCATTGATTCGGGAGCATGTAGTTGTTTCATTGATCTTACTTTTGCTCACCGGCAAAAGATTCCCCTCCAGACCAAAGAAAGGGGTTTAACATCTTCCTGGCAGACGGGTCTAGCATAAAGTCGGGAGTGGTGGATCAGGAGACTCCCCCTATTTTTACCACGATGGCTGACCATCATCAGGAGTTCCTCCGTCTGGATGCCATCGCATCCCCCCTTTTCCCAATCATTCTGGGGCTTCCTTGGCTGCGGGCCCATAACCCCCAGGTTGATTGGGAGAAGGGAACGGTTCAGTTTCGGTCACCATACTGCCGGGATCACTGCCACGTCCCAGGGCCCGTGCCTCCCCGGTTTCTCCTATGCATGGATGGTGATACGGATCTGTCTCAGGTTATCCCTCCGGCCTACCACGATTTCTTAGATGTGTTCAGTAAGCGAGGAGCAGACATTCTTCCCCCACACACGTTCCTACGATTGCCCCATAGACCTCCTACCCGGATCTGAGATTTCATTCGGTCGCATTTTTCCTTTATCGGAACTAGAATCAGGGGTTTTGAGGGAGTATATTGATGACAATCTGCGGAAGGGATTTATTCGCCCGTCCACGTCCCCGGCCGGGGCTGGGTTGTTTTTTGTAGAAAAAAAAAGACAAATCGTTACGGCCCTGTATTGACTACCGAGACCTGAATAAAATAACAGTAAAAAATCGCTATCCGTTACCCCTAGTCCCTGAGCTCCTCCAGAGGTTAGGGTCAGCAGCGATTTTTACTAAATTAGACTTGCGGGGGGCATATAACCTTGTACGTATCAGGGAGGGGGATGAATGGAAGACAGCCTTTCGTACGAGATTCGGTCATTTCGAATATTTGGTGATGCCGTTCGGGCTCTGTAACGCACCAGCCACCTTCCAACACTTTATTAACGATGTCTTTCGTGATTTCCTCGATGTCTTCGTGGTTGTCTACCTAGATGACATCCTGATATTTTCACCCTCACTGGAGGCTCATAGGGAGCATGTGGCAAGGGTCCTAACACGTTTACGCCAACACGGGCTTTACGCCAAGGCAGAAAAATGCTGTTTTGAACAGTGTGAAATAACGTTCTTGGGACTGGTCCTCTCTCCCGCGGGGGTCGCGATGGATCCCCAGAAAGTCACGGCGATCTTAGATTGGCCAACACCCACCGATAAGAGGGGGGTACAGCGTTTCATTGGATTCGCAAACTTTTATAGAAAGTTTGTCAGGAACTTCTCAGGGCTGGTCTCCCCAATCACGCAACTGACTAAACAAGGGACTCGTTTTAAATGGACCCCTGAAGCCCAGACCGCGTTCGACACGCTCAAGAAATTGTTTACTCTGCTCCCATTCTCTGCCATCCAGATTCTTCTCTTCCATATGTTTTGGAAGTGGACGCCTCCGAAAAACGCGGTAGGAGCGATTCTTTCCCAAAGGAGTGGTACCAAGGAGTTACTGCATCCCGTGGCGTTTTTCTCCAGGAAGTTGACTCCGGCGGAGCGCAATTACGATATTGGAGATCGGGAACTCCTGGCCATCAAGTCCGCTCTAGAAGAATGGAGGTATCTCCTGGAAGGAGCCACACACCCAATCCTAATATTCACGGATCACAAGAACCTCGAGTATTTAAGGACGGCGAAACGACTGAGACCACGCCAGGCGAGATGGGCTCTTTTCTTCTCTCGGTTTACCTTTCATATAACGTACCGACCTGGGTCTAAAAATACAAAACCAGACGCTCTGTCCCGCATGTTTGAGGACCCCGACGATACAGTGTTACCTGACACAATTTTGCCATCCGGAAGCTTCCTCGTCCTGCAAACGGAACTTCGCTCCAGACTGATTGACGCTTCCGTTGGACTGCCAGTCCCGCCTGGGTCGCCTCTCCAGAACCGCGATGGTCTGCTTTGGAAGGAAAATCGGATCGTGGTGCCAGAAGGAGTTCAAACTTTCGTCCTGGGGCACTGCCACGACCATCCAATGGCAGGGCACTTTGGGGTGGCGAAGACTCTGGAGCTACTACGGCGCTCATTCTGGTGGCCAAACATGGTCAAAGACTGCGAGCGCTCGTCCAGACCTGTCCCACCTGCCAAAGGAACAAGCCCTCCAGAAGCAAGGCCTGGGGATTGTTGCGTCCATTGCCGATACCCAAACGGGCCTGGCAAATGATTGCCATGGATTTTGTAGTCGAACTCCCACCGTCTCAAGGCTACACTGCTATAATGGTGATCGTGGATCGCTTTTCAAAGATGGCTCATTTCGTGCCCTTGGAAAGAACCCCGTCGGCACCGGAGACTGCACGGATATTCATCAAGGAAGTAGTAAGGCTACATGGGATACCCGAAGACATAGTATCGGATCGGGGAGTCCAGTTCACATCTAGATTCTGGAAAGCCTTATGTGAAGCATTAGGAATCAAACTGTCACTGTCATCTGCTTACCATCCACAGACCAACGGGCAAACAGAAAGGACCAATCAAACATTGGAACAGTACCTCAGATGCTACACCTCCTATCTCCAGGACGACTGGCTAACACTGTTGCCTTCTGCAGAGTTCGCCTATATAATAACTCGAGCCACTCAGCGACGGGACAATCACCGTTTTTTACCAATTTCGGATATCATCCTACGTTTCTCCCCGACCTAACGCCCGAAAGTCCGGTACCCGCATCTCAAGATGTCTTGCATTTCTTTTCTGTCAATAACAAAACGATTCAGGAGGCCATCACTAAAGCCCAAGAAGATAGTAAAAAGGCGTTCGACAGGAAGAGAAGAGGAGAGCTGTTGCTCCAGCCGGGGGATCAGGTTTGGTTGGCTACGACCAACTTGAAAATGCTGTGTCCTTCCAGGAAGTTAGGACCGAAGTACCTTGGACCGTTTCCAATTAAACGAGTGATCAATGAAGTGGCCTACGAACTTGAGCTCCCGGAGTCTTTCAAAATACACCCGGTGTTCCATGTCTCTCTCCTGAAACCATCCAGACCAGATTCCTTCCCGGATCGCCAATCCAGACCTCCTGAGGCAGTCGCCATAGGTGACCAGGAGGAATATGAGGTAGAAACTATTCTCAGTTGCCGAAAGAGGGGGGGCCAGACGCAGTTCCTGATAAAATGGAAGGGTTATGGCCCTGAGGAGAATTCTTGGGTACCCATCCAGAATGTTCACGCCCCCAGGCTCATCCGGGAATTTTTTCGTGGCCACCCGCGGTGGAGAGATC